TTATCAGCTCTCAGATCTTTCTTTCAGTTTAGTTTTAAATAGAATGACAGTTGATAAGTTTAATTAAGCATTACTTAATGAGGGCAGAGTCTACCCAAAGGAACTACATCAAAGTTCCTCTGCCAAAAAGTAGGATAGCAAAACACAACTGGTTTTGTATAAGTTTCTCTTAAATACTGTGTATCCTGATGCAGGATGCAAGTATATCTAAATTTTAAAATTTAATTCAAACCAAGATTTTAAAAGAAGCTGTGAGATTTTCATACACAGATTTAAACAATATTCATGGAACTAATTTCTGATTGTTTCTTATTGCACATTTTCTCATTGCTACTAAATATTTATCCTCTTCATTAAAAAACAGATAAATAGTTTGTGTGCATACCTGCTCAAGTACAAGAGTTCAAAGATATTAAGGAAAAATTATTAATTATTCCTCAGATCAAATCACTTAAGTCTTGGAACTTCAAATTATTTATTGACATCATAGCGCAGATCTAATATCCCTAGAATCAGCTATGTCTGCTTTCTTTGATACATGGAGCTACAGAATATATGGATTCAAAAATAGCATAGTCTATAAAACAAAATGTAACTATTTGACACAGAATCACAAAATAGTTGAGGCTTGTAAGCACCTCTAGAGATACCCTAATTCAGTCTCCCTGTTCAAAGCAGAGGCAGTGGTCCTGTTGGGTTTTGAACACCTCGAGGTACAGGGATTCTTCAACCTCTCTTGACAATCTGCAATATCTGCAATACATCAATACTTGAAACATATGGCACCATTTAAGATTAAAAAGTTCCTTTTTTTATATAAGCAGTTGAACATTAGGAGTGATCTGCATTTTGCATTTCTTGATTGAGCTACTGTAAAACATACAGAGGGACAGTGAGCAATGCCAACATAGTCCATGCTATTACATAAGCTTTTTTTTTTCCTGGTAGTTGATCCACATATGACTAAATAGTCAGCAATTAGAGGGCTTAGTTGTTTAGCATGAAACAATGAAAATTATCAACAGAAGATCATCAGTCCAAATCGTGTGGTAATTCCAAGCAAGGACCAGCTCCTTGTATTTGGATACAGGTTTACTCAGGATTCTGAGAAATTTCATGCAATGTGAAAGTTCAGGTTTGGCCTAGATCTGAATGCAAACTCATCTTCTTTACACATTATTCAAACTTTCTACTCCAAAATTCTCTTACCCAAAATTTCCCATATCTTCCAAAGGATGCTGAATGTTCCCCAGGAACCCTAGGGAATTATTTCAAGTTTCGCCAGTACGTAGCTTCCATTTCACAAGCTGTCAAATGACTAGTCAAAATGTCAGAAAAAGGAAATCAGTTCTGCAGAGTTTTCAGGTTAACAGATAACTGGCATACTCATGCAAAAATAATAATAAATGTTAGCACTTTACTAGGTGGCAAAAAGAGCCTGACTGTCTTGTGAGCAGCATTAAGCTTCACGTGTTAAGTATGGCAACATCATGCAATACAACAAAATATCACCCTCTCCTTCCTGGGATGGTTTTGATGAAACCATCAAAGGCCCAGTGGGCCCTTCCTCACTTCTGCAGTGTAAGCACTGACCCTCCCTCCAGGAGCAAGCTCTTAGTTTAAGCACTGAGAGCAGCAACTATAGCAAGTACTGGAGACTTTGAGATATTTATTTGGTACTTATAAAAAAATCCACAATGGCTATACTGTGTCAGAGGAAACGTACACTTCAATTTTGATAACATCTCCAGCTGTGGCCCTTAACAGATATATATGGAAGAATATAAGAACACAGCAGTCTTCTCTCTTTCTTTCAATGTATTAGGACTGTAGCATTCTTTTTTAAGGGAAGGGATGGTATTAAATGTGGATATGTCCATTACATACTTATGAATGTATGAGGTTCCCTCCGTAATAATTATTTTGTGATCAGTGGAAAATGATAAACCTCTTCTGATTCCGAGTTCTAAATGTCACCATCCAGCAGATAAAAAAAAGGCTGAGCAAATCATGTCTGACAGCACACTTGTGGAGCAGGGTTAACTATAAACATCAAGACTCCCAGGTCTTGATGTTTAAAGCTGATCTGCTGACTCTGGGAGCTGATATTGCTAAAAATGTGTAATTGATCACCATCAATGCAGGATGTAGCCATGCTAATAAGATAATATTTAAAAAAAGAGATGCCAGAAGAAATTATGCATTTGATTATCAGGGCAATTGATAGTTCTTCCTCAGTCAGCAGAGCTGTCATAAAGCAATGCAAGTTTTCTCATCTTCCTGCTGGGGTTTTTTTGTGTGTTTTTTTATTTATTTTTTTATTTTTTTCCTAAACTGGTGATTTGAAGTATACAAACTTTTGGAAATGTGACTATCATGTTCTGACTACCAAAGATCAGTGACAGAATGGGATTGATTTTAGGCAAAGCAAAACTTTATCATCAGTGTGACTTTTTTTCTCTTTTTGTTGGTTAGACTTGCATTCATCCTGAAGGTTTTCTTTGTAACTTTTTTTTTTTTCCCAAGCAAAACCTGTATGGCAGTTACACCTTGAGAAAATAAAAATCAGCTTCTTGTCTAATTTTTTTTCCTTATACCCCAGGGGCATCAGTCAGATCCATTAAGTTGCATTTCAATTGCTTGATTTTAAACATTCATGATCCACAAGGCACATAATGAGAAGAAAATACCCCTCTATTGACAGCTTAAATGGATCTCTGTGTGAGCCAAGTCTGATGAGATTTCATTTTCTTTTGGTTTGCTTCTTTGTTCATGCGTGTGTGGCCTTACTGACCAAGTGAGTGAGTGCAGTCTCATTGCACACACTGCTGAAACTCTCACCAGTGGAAATTAGATTCCATTTCCAAATCCCGTCACTGCAGTGATACTCAGCTAGGCTCTTCCTGCTGGTCTTTTAAATTAAAGCGAGTCATTGATGATAGCCTTACTGCTCCCCTGGTAAATTTTCTTCTGAAGCCATGCAAGCAGGAGGTAATAAACCTAGGACAGCAGCTGGTAGTATTTTGTCAACAGAGCATCTTTTTTTTTTTATTTTTACAAAAGGATATTAACCAGTTTCTCACATTTCTAAAGCTTTCAGTTTTTGTTCTTGCTCATTGCTAATACATGGAAAAGGTGGTTTTGCTTGTCTTAGGAGGTTTATACTGTCATGTATAACATCCTTTGCCTTAATAGCATTGTGAAGTCACACATTGACAAAAAACCAAAAATAACTTCAGTTCCTTCCTTTCTAGAAACGTTCTAAAGACAGAGACCATCCTGTTAAATTTGTACGATTAAAAATCAAGGGGACATGCACTTGCTCATAATTACTGTTGCTTTATTTCAGAGGAACTGAGCTTAAAATCAGATCTGCTTTACCAAGCAAAAGCAACATCATATTTCTGAATCATGGCTGGTAAATGAAAGGGGGTAAATTTTAGGAAAAGTCAGATCTATTTTAGCATGAAGCAGCTGGATTTACTGCCTTCTGAGCATCACGTTTTACTCATTTTGCACAGTTTGTATTTCTGTAAACTGCTACAAACAACATGATAAATTCTTGATTACAACAGTTATGATCAATTCTGATATTTCAACTCCTAATTCTTGGAATGCAATGGAAAATTTCGGAATATAAAATTGTAGTCTTTATTTCTCATATTCTTTCATTGTCAAATAATTTAATCTGTTTTATTCCATAAACAGTTTTCATTATATTTTATTTAGCAGCATGTTTTTATATGAGTTTATCTCCACATTTCATTTCACTATTTTTCCCATTTGTTATATGCAACTGCACAGGATTTTGAAATTAAAATATGATCCAGGTGAAGACTTGGGTTTATCTGTGTAAGTGGTAGCAAGTTAAGTGTTTGTGGTTTTTCTTGCTGTGTGGGTGGTGTGTTTTTCAGATGTTTTGTAATACATTGCTTCTAGTGAACTATTAAGAATTCAGTATCTTGTCCCATTAAGCATTTTTTTCCCACTAGAGGCAGAGGCTTGGATTTTGACATTTGTACACTGGTGAAAAGTTAATCTTTTTGGAGTCAACCTTATGACTAATTATTACAAAATATGAACCCAGTTCTCAGAACCTCTAAGTCCCAGATGCAAATCTTCCTTTTGTAAGCATTTCACTCTAACCAAAAGATTTCTCATCTTATCAGAATACACCTCACTTGATTTATAGAGGGGTTGACTCTGGAAATACTGAACATAAAATTTCCTTATAGAGATACTTTGATCTGTACCAAGTCTCCTGACTCAGTCCAGACATACTTGGAAGACACAGCAGCTTAGAACAGTATTCAGTATTTTTCAGCCCGGTTACCATAGCTCTGTTCCTACATTTTACAATGAAGTATGTTCAGCTGTTTTGTCAATTTTTTCATGAGAAAAGATATGGAAGAAAAATTTAAACCTGATTATTACCCAGCTGATGTTTGAAATGTGGAGGCACATCTTTTCATTAAAATCAGTTAGCCCAACTGCCTTCACTTTTTTTGTATTTTCATAAGTGACAAAGTAGAGAAAATGTATTTGAATTATCAAAACACATTCACAAATTATTTCAATTTTGAGGCTCGGCTTCTCAACAGCCATTTGTCACTGTAGGAAAGAGTTATCTTCCAAGACCATGGCTGGGCAGGAAATGTCTGATATATAAAATGTTTTGGTTTCTTGCCATCTTGGTAGGTATGCATGTTTTTGATACTGCAGCATTTTTCAATATCATGCAACCCAGACTGTGGAGAGTGCATGTACAGAGAACTGATCTCCTGTCTTGTTTCAGCAGGTAAGTTATAGTGGAAGGGACAACATTCAAGAGTCTAATCTGTGTGAAGTGAAAGGGCTTTACTAATGTGCTGTGCCATTTAAACAACATTCAGTGAATGTCACATCAAATCTTGTTGTCAAAGCAAGATAAGAAGAATCTATCTGATGCCTTTGTCAAAATCTGAGCCTTTGACCTCATGCTCTTTTTTTTGCCTTTGTAGGAATGCAGGTGCTGGAATGGAATGGCATCCCCTTGACTGGGAAGACTTATGAAGAAGTCCAGAGCATTATTATTCAACAGAGTGGGGAAGCAGAAATATGTGTAAGACTGTGAGTTTTTCCCCATCTTTCTGTTTCCATTTTTTTTTGGCTTTTCATGGCTTTCTTTTTTTTCTTTTTTAATTTACAGTTGTTAAGGTGGAACCTTTGTTAGCACAAAACATCAGCGTAATAATAAGCAAGAGTTCACTGTGAGTGTGGGAGGTCTGTTTTTTCTGTTTTTCTTTTAAAGTCATAAGAAAATATAAACTGAGTGAGATGCTAATAATTATACTTTTATAAATAATGATATTTCCATTTTTAGGCCACAATCTCCTCTCATTGACAAACATACAATTCACTGAATTTACTAGTGTTAGAAAAAGATGGTGATTTGGTAGTAACTTGAATTTAAGTGAAATCTGTATCCTTTAGATGAAAATCATTTAAGCATCATGAGAAATGCATAAACTTGCATTAAATTCATTAAAGATTTCACCTTAAAAGAACCTTTTCTTCTCAGCTCTTTAACAGCATTGCCAACATGTATCAGCTAAGAAGGGACCATGCTTGGGAGCTGCTTTCTGTCATGAACCACTATTCATTTACCTACTTAATACAACAATGAGGGTATGAGGAAAGAGTTTCTTTTGTCTCAGGCTTCTCATTGCTTTCTTTAGGGACCTGAACATGCTCTCGGATTCTGAGAACCCCCAGCACCTGGAGCTGCATGAGCCAGTAAGGGCAGGTGAGCATCAAGATGTTGCTTTGATATTGTAGGTCTGGATAGCAGCTGAAAATTTGATGTGATATAAGCTAGAATGTTAGCATTGTAAGCTCAGGCGTTACACCTCAAATATTGCCATGGGTAAAAAGGGAACCACACCTCACATACAAAGGCAAGATGAGGGGATCGAGTGCACCCTCAGTGTATTTGCAGACAACACCAAGCTGGTGTTGGTCTACTGGAGGATAGGAAGGCTCTGCAGGGAGATCTTGACAGTCTGGATCAATGAGCCGAGGCCAAATGCATGAGATTCAACAAGGTCAAGTTCCAGGTCCTGCACTTGGATCACAGCAACCCCATGCAGAGCTACAGGCTGGAGAAGAGTAGCAGGAAAAGGACCTGGAGGTGCTCGTTGACAGTGGCTGAACATGAGCCAACATGTGCCCAAGTGGCCAAGAAGGCCAGTGGCATCCTGGGTTGAATCAGCAATACTGTGGCAGCAGGACCAGGGCAGTGATAGTCTCCCTGTAGTCAGCACTGGTGAGGCCATACCAAATTCTGTGTTCAGTTTTGGGCCCCTCCCAAGAAGGAGATTGATGTGCTGGAGCATGTCCAGAGAAGGGCAACGGAGCTGAGGAAGAATTGGAACACAAGTCAGCTGAGGGAGTTGGGCGTGTTTAGCCTGGAGATAAGGAGGCTCAGGGGGAATTTTCTCTCTTTTTACAGCTACCTGCAAGGAGGCTGTAGTCAGGTTGGGGTCAGTCTCATCTCCCAAGTAACAAGTGGTAGGACAAGAGGAAATGGCCTCAAGTTGCATCAGGGATGGTTCAGGTATCCTGAGGAACGTGCTGGGAGGAGTGTGATGTTTGTGGTGGGAGTTTTTGACTCCTCCTTGATGATAATTCCTTCATATTCACATCGGGATCCACTTGGGTCTCTTTTGTGTTTTCTACTATACCTTGCTCTTTCCCCACTGTTCAACAGCTCTGCATTGCATAGGACTTTACTGGATAGTGTAAACTTTACATGTGATATATTCTTTTTCTTTTTCCTTCTGTTGCCCTTAAGGCTTACTTTGCCCAGTCCCTGAGTTTCCATCCCTTCTGGTAACTGACTAGTGAGTTGTTGGTGTCTGCAGGGCCTCCACTTTCATCCTGTGTCCAAACCTTGCAGCACTGCTGTCACCCCAGGCCTCAGAGGCTCTTATAAACATTATTAATCTGGAGTCATAAATACTTCAATCTGCACAGTGCAATTACTGCTGTGCCTTTCCATGTCAAAATTATTAAGAATGGGCACTATACCATACCATTATACAATATAACTCAGGCAAATTAGGGCTGCAGCCATCTGGTTATTCAACAATCTCTGTTACAGCCAGACAAGCTAAAACAAAGCTCCCAGCAAACTGCAGCAAGTTCAAATAACACAGAAGTCCTAAGACCTGTGTTCACAGAGTCATAGAATTGTCAGTGTTGGAAAAGACCTTGATGAAAATACCTGTTAGCTTAATACAAGGTTTGTGGTCTGTTATGAGCGATGAAAATACAGTATTTATTAAGATACAGGGATGCAACAGTAGCAGTCAGTGTGAAGTTTTATGTGAGTTCTAAGATGGCAATGCTTTTGGGGGATTCCCTTCTATTCAGTCAATACCATGACTGCAGGCTCCAGTCACTTTATCAGTCATATCTAATCTAACTTTGAATCAACGTGGACAATCTTACAGTAATGCAGCCCCTCAGCAAGCTCAGTGCAGATTAAAAGACTGTTTCACTCAGAATTTCATGGGTCCGTTCTGAGTTTTGTGGTTTTGTGGCTTCTCTTTTATCAATCAGTACATAAATTGTCTGAATTAAATCCTCTATTTGCTGATCGTGTAACATTTCCCAGCTATTAATATGCTTACCATAAAGCTACTTTTTGTTGAAAATGGATGTTATTGATAATAATTTAAAGAAAAGACTAACTCTGACAGAGCTTTGAGGCAGAGCTGCCCATAATTATTTTCTTTGTGAGCAGATCAAAAACACCAAAGACATTCATAGACACTGAAATTGGGTTTTGAAAAGATAGAAGATAGAATAAACAACTTTTTATTAATAAAGAAAACTCAAAATGAGAAAGAACAGAAATAAAATTAAATTTTTCCACTCTTGCAGGCATTCTTCCTTTTAGTCTGGTAATTTTCTAGTGGTTTCTGAGTTGGACCAGCTCTGTAGAGTTTGTTCTGCCTGCCAAGTCAAGTCTTGCCATTACCTCTGAGGTTTGGCAGACTGGGCTTTGGAGAGGAACAATCTCCATTCTCTCTGAAAGAAAATGAATTAGAGCCAAGCAGGCGGGATAAGACTAATGTCTTGCTTTAAACCTCTTGTACTTCTGAGAACCTGGGAAGCAAGCTGTGCCTAGTATCCTTTTAACTCTATGCAGTTTAAGGCACATATGGAACTTACTTGACTTCATTTCTGTGTTAGATGGAAATTGCTGTCTCCAAAGGGTAAATTCTTCCCACTCATTCCCAGGCAGCAGGGAGGGCAATCAGACTCAGATGTCTTGCATAGGTGTGAGTAATGAGGCAAGGTGAATCAGGGCTTTTATTCTTCATTTGTTTTCATTTCATTCTGCTTTGATTAATTTGTGGTGGTAAAGTTTTGAGCTTTTTTCTCTTTATTTTTGTATAAATTATCTCAGAAGCAGAATTCAGTTTTATTGAATGCCCAGCTGATTTGGAAAAAAAAAAAAAGAAAAAAAAGAGATTAAAGCTTTTTACAAGAAAGTTGAGATACTTGGTGAACCTGGACCAGTTTTAAATATTGAAAGACAGTACAGTACAGTCTTTAAATCTATAATTTGCTCCAGTATGATTCAGCATGATCAGCAAGGCCTGTTTTTCTTCAGCTAGAAGTACTTTCTCAGGAAGCTTTCAAGGTAAGTAGCACTAGTTGACAGAAAGACTGGAATTGGAATGTCAATGTTGTGTGAGAGATGTTTATTTCTATAGGTTGCCTTTTGTGCCTTCAAAGTATACAAGCAGATGACATGAAAAATTATAAAGATCATTATGCTGTCCCTGTACCTTGGCAAGATAGATTTGGATGTGCTGGCAATTATCAATACAAAGCTCTCTTACTTTAATCCAGTAGATAAAGCGAAGTCCCCGGGGGTTGATCCCAAGCAGCTGGCTGCAGAGCTCCAAAAGGTTTCTCTACAGCAGTCGCCTCTGGTTGCTTCCTCGGGAGTGGAAAAGGGTTCTCATGTCCACTCTGGAACCACTTCTGCCACCTCCAGTGCTGTTCCTAGCCCTGGTCAGCCTGGCTCTCCCTCAGTGAGCAAAAAGCGCCACAGCAGCAAGGTAAGAAACTTCTCAGATAAGCAGCAATAACATTTTGATGACAGAAGGAAACTGCCTGTGTACCTCCTTTAGTATAGCAAGAAATTACAGCACATATTGGTGAACTCATTTCCAGGACAGTTATGAATATTACTGTTAAGATACTGAACTTGGACATAAGGAAAGATTATGTGATTTATTCAAGGTAATAAAAGATTCGTCCATCTCTAAAAATAATTTTTTTAGCTTAATATTATTGGTTTTAAACAAAATAATTGTCATTTGCTATCTTTGTTGCTCTTGCTATTTAAGAGCATCCTACATTATGCTGAGGTACTAGTTCCACTGAAGAAGCTGATATTACTAAGACCATAATTTCGCTCTCTCTACTAAACTACTGCTAGAAGTGTTGCAAGCTATGAATAATCAGAGCATGTCTCTGAAAGCCAGGGAAAGAATGAAAATTAAAGTTACCATTAAAATGTTTTTTTCACTAGCTAATTCCTGTAAACTTGCTAAGCATAATTTCTTATTTTCTTTGCCACATCCTGTCCATTTTTCAGCTGAAGTTCTTTCTCCTTGTGCATATGCACACCTGAAAAGGGAAGAGTGGGAATTTAGTAACATTTTCTGCCAGTTGAAACTGAAAACTAGATCATAAAGTAATTTGTCAGATTTTTGCATTTTGTGTCAAAAAAGTTGAGACCTGAAGTGGAAATCAATTCTGTGAAGACTACATTTGCTTAAGCAATTTGCAAGAGTGCTAATTGCTATCCTGAATATCCAGCTTCTCACATTCTTATTGTTAGAAGCAAAGCTTCACATTGCAAACAGAGTGCTTTCTAGATATTTATTAATCATCATCTTTATTCCTTCTTGGGACTGTCAGATTACTATTGCATTATAGTTATGTTTTTATTTCTGTTCTGTTGGAGCTATGCCTTTTAATTGAACTGTGGATGAGTCAGGTGCTGCACAAACCAAACCCAGCAAGTGGTTTGCTCATTTCAGATAGTTCTTCAATATGCCAACATAACTTTCATGTGAGAGGAAACATAAAAAAACCCTTTCATCCAGCAACTTAGCACAAACTGTAAAGATATTTATTGATCAGTTTGGCTTGGATAGTAATTCTGTCTTTCCGCAATACCTATAGATATTTTATGAACTAATTCAAGTATGTGATGCACAAGTTACATCCATATGTCAAGATTTACTGGGCCTAACTTCAGGGATCTGGCAGAATTGCCTAATCATTAGGTGAATAGTTGGATTCATTGCAGCATACTCTGGATATTGTACACATCTACATATGAACTAGTTTGCCATATGCATGATTTTTGTCACTGAGAATAATGTACTTCTGAAGTACAATTCATGAGACTGGGTGAAACCTGCCATGGCAGTGCATGGAGAGGGCAGGGCTCTTGGCCCATGTCACTATCTACTCTGAACCCCCTTTCATTTGGTTAGATGAATGATGCTCCTAAATTCACTGCACAGTGAATGGCCATCTATAAATCCTTGCTGTGCAGTGTATCCTGGAGAGGTGCCCCTCTTTATCCACATGAGGAGACTGGGTTCCCAGCTTTGGCACTGTAACAGGTCACCTAAAGTTACATGTATAAATTTAATTTCCTGTTTCAGAGAGGATTTAGTACTCTTTTATGAAAATTCAGCTGGAGGCTTATAAAGATGAAACAAAAAAATATTAGAACTATTGCCTTCATGTAGGAGATGGAAAACCCAAAACTAGTCAGGTAAATATTTAAAATATTCTTTGCTTATTTCTGAAAATCATATTGAGAGGCATTTCTTTCATAACAACCGTGGCTCTTGTTGACTTGTATAGTTTCTGTTCATTGACTGCAGGCCAAGTTTATAATGGTGTTGAGCTCTGTTTGAAGAGAAAGCTCATACTTTCTGGAACTGCTCTTTGCCTTGGGCTGACAGCATTTCTAGGCAGGCTGCAGCCCTGCCAAAGTATCATGACAGACTAAATAGCCAAACTGCCTAGATCTTGTTTTGCAACTGCTTTTATTTTTAGCAAGTATTTTTTTAAGCTTTTTGTATAGAATATACACTCTAGAAATGTTGTAGGAGTCTCTTTGATATTCTGCAGTGCCAATTGTCTCACATTTAACGCTTTGTCTGATTGCTGCAGAGAGTGATAGTGCATAACATCAGAGCCTGGCATTAACAAGTTTCACCTCAGGGTCATGACAATCTTCTTCAGCAGGTGTGATGGCATTACAAAGCACTATCTCTTACACAGGGTGTGTGAGTTCATGCAAGGAGTCTCAAAAGAAATTAGAATAAACTTAGATTAGCCATCTCAAGAGGAATTGAACCCTTGGAAGCTTTGAGCTCACTATATCCTGTGCAGACCTGTTTCTTTTGTAGTGTAAATGCATGATCTGCATATGGTGCAGATTACATCCATACAAATGCCCTACAGAAACATTAATTGTCTTTGTATCTTGAAGAATGGGTTGTTTTTTCTAATTCCTCAGATCATTTAGCTCCTAGAGAATTCAGCAGTGAAATACTTTTTCTTCTTTTCAAATTAATCCTCACTGAGGCCCTGATAAAGAAAGATACTTATTTGCATCTCTGCCTTTGAATCCAGATCCATCTTCAAGGTTGGCCCAGCTCTGAGCTGGGGGTTAGACCAGATGACCTTGAGAGGTCTCTTTCAGCCTAAATTATTCATGTTTCTTTCAAATATATAGGTAGTTCTTCATGGTCAGTTTTAAATCTTCTGCCATCAGAGAGGAAACAAAATATTTAATATACTGAATCGGAGCCTTGTAAATGAATACAGAGATTCAACAATGATATAGAAACATTTATTTTTACAGACTTCACTTTACAAACTCCCCTTAAACCACTTTTGAAAGTCCCCATACAAATTTGTCATGCCCATTCCCTTTTCTACGAACTCCCTCTACATTATCTGCACTAATACATTCCATATTACATGACAGGCAGAGTGAACAAACCCATTATTCTTGATATTCCAACTTGTGAAAAATGAGAGCATTTAGACTATTCGGCAGTGATTTTGTAGCCACAGCACAGCAAAAATAACACCATGTTATTTTTGTTGTTGTCAGTATTGTCAGTGCTAGTACAGCCTGAGGTCAGAACTATTAAGTATAATAAAATCCATTTGTAGAGGTAAAGTATGAGAAATATAAGCCCTTTAAGCCCTACTTTAAAAGTTTGCATGATGCTCAGGTAGCTCTCTGTCTTTGCCAAAAGGAGGAGAAATTCTCTCTTTGAAGAGTCTGCTAAGGACCAAAGAAATTTTAGGAGTAGTTTGCTATCAATCTAAAATTTCATTTCAGATTTAGAGCATTTTATAAACTATTGATGAATTATTTTAGCTCTTAGAAAGAATAAACTTCTTTAAAATCTTTTTAAGGTACCAAAACCAGCTGATTTTAAAATATTCTATGAGAATTATTTTTAGAAATGTGCATTTGCTGAAAAATCAAATTTGGTTTTGTTTCTTTTCTGGAAAAGCTTGTGCTCATAAAGAAATACATCTAGAAGGCAAGGTAAATCAGTAAACCAAACAAGAATAAGGCAACACAGGACGGTGAACATAACCATAAAACAGGCAGATATTAGCTAGTTTTCTCCTATGTTTTCATTGTGCTAGTGTTTGGCTGGGATTTTTCTGCTTAGTTCTGGTCTGCAGATCTGAATGATTGAAGGGATGTTTCTTCATCACAAACCTGAAGAGGGTAGTGCATCACCTTAACTTTAGGCTCTGGTCTGTGGGCCCTGCATTGGCCTAATTTAAAACAATTGATACCCAACATCCTGAGAAAGTCTCTAAGGGTTTTCTTGGAGTGTAGGGCAGCACAAAAGAGGCAGATGGGTTTTACTCTTCTCAGAAAGCGATAGAAATACTCAATGCACGCAATAATGTCAGGCAGCTGCTCACATCTGGAGGAATAGGAAAAATGGCTTCCAGATCAATCTTCAGAGAACAGTAAGTTTGTCCTTGTTTGCATCCTTTGTTTTCTGCTGCATCAACCAAGGAAGCAGATGTGGAGAGAATGCAAAAATATTCAAATCCTGCTACTGAACCAGAGCTTTCTTGCTTGACTGATGGCTTGCAGATTAGAGGTAGGTCCAGGGTGGCTCAAGGGCACCAGCGTTTAACAGAACAGCATATTTTTGTGAGTCCAGGATTCTAAGCAAGTGGTCATATTATTTTCCAACTACTAACAAACAGGAGGGAGGAAAAGGGGAGGGGGGGAAACATTAAAAATTTTATTCCTTTTTGTCAAATCCTCAGAAAAGTTCAGTAATAAAGAACAGAGAGGAAGGGGAGGACAGAAAATTTAAATTTCATGATATAGAAACAGTGTGGAGGAATTTGAAGATGAAGTGGTGTAGCTGAACTCATTATCAGAAAACACAGAATAAAGCAAAAAATGGCTTGCAATTGTGAAACCCACTTATACCTGTCACTTAGTTTCAGTACCATTCTTTTCACTCCTTTAACCCACTTTCACCTAAACTCAGTTTTAAACTAGTGTAGCTTTTGCCTCTCTCTGATTTTCTCATACTGCCAGAAATATGGCTGTGTTTTACTTGACATGGTATTTTTTTCTCTTGGCAACATTCACTTTTGTTAGGCAGAGTCAATGCTGTATATCTTTTTCTCCCCATGCCTCCGTGTGTGACGAATCTGCTCAGACTGTAAAGATTTCGTTATTCAATTGTTTGATTGATTCTGTACCTGCACAAAGGCTGAACAAAATGGCTAGACTAGACTTTAAGTGCTGTTAAAATACCATAACTATTAGTTTTGAGCATAACAGCTGTAGACAAACAGTTTTTAAAAATTTGTGGCAATGCATAAGTATATACCATACCTCTTAAAAAAGTTAACTTTGAAAATCTATTATTTCCAGTATGTATGTGTGTATATTTATAAGTGTGTGTCTATGTATTTATTTATGTATTTTTAATCTGGCAGCCCACAGAAACTACAAAGTCTGCTTCCCACCCGATCACTGGAGAAATTCAGGTAAATATGTATTTTTGCTGTGTACATTGCTGTTGCTACTGGCTGCATTTTCTGTGCAATAAGTTTGCAGAAAACAACCTCCATCAATTGATTTCTTATTCAACTCCAATCCTTAAAATGTCACTAATGTAAGTCAGCGCTTCATTTTTGCATCTGTCTTTAATGTTGACTTGTGAATTACAACCAGGAGAATGGAAAATGTTGCTATTCCTAAAGGGGCTAAAAGCACAGTGAAATTCATTCTAATCCTTAATCTTTGGCCACTTATTGTGGTTTTCTTCAGAAATTCCCAATCTGTTTACATTGAAGCAAGAACTATTGAGGGTTTCTTATAGTGCAGTGTATTTATTTCCATGATATGCCAAGTTTATGATTATCCCTTATGTAAATTGACTTTAGCTTTTTTAAACAGTGGAACACAGAACAGCAGAATAACTGACGCCCTACTTCTTATAGATTTCTGGGGCTCTATTTCCCCTTTAATTAGCCTCTCTCTTCTATAGTAGCACTAAGTCTTTCCATACAATATTATAGCATCCTGGTCAGGCTTGGGCTCCAAGTAGGCAGGATGTGTGTAATTATCATTCAGTAAGCTGGCTGTTGCTCAGAATAATATCAAGGGTTCAAATTTCCTTTGTTTTCTCCTGGTTGGAATAGATCAATGTGTTTCTCTTGTTTTTCAAGGTCCAACATGATCATCTAGCACTTTATTCTGGTCAAAAGAGAGAGAGAGAGACAGAAACTTCTAAAATGTGTTCATTTGCACATAGAAGTCTAAAACCCATTTTATTCAAAGGGTTTGGGAGAGATAGGAATTAAAAGTAACAAATAATCCTACTGTGTTTTAATGCATTCACTAGCTTCAAATCAACTATGACAAGCACCTTGGCAACCTTATCATCCACATCCTTCAGGCGAGAAACCTTGCTCCAAGAGACAACAATGGCTATTCGGACCCCTTTGTTAAAGTTTATCTTCTTCCAGGGAGAGGGTAAGTGTAGGAGATATTTTAACGTGAACCTTCTTTTAATTTAGGTTTTGCTGCTTGCCCTTAATAAGCAGAACTGAAAGTTATTGCTATAGAAAATCCAGGTGCAACACCAACAGAAATGGTGAATTTTTAATATAGAGCCAGATCCTATTCTCAGGAGAACTGGGAATACTTTGCTAATGACGTTAGGAACTTTATTGTCATTCTTGTAGATTTACTTTTTTTCTTCCATGTTTCTTTTTAAAAATTATAATACATGCAAAAATATTTAAAATAACAACAGAATCTATGGGAATGTAATAAATATATGTAGTACTTTTTGTAAACTTTTTGTAAACTTTTTTTTTTTACTTTTTGTAAACTTTTTGTAAACTTTTGATAAAGCCACGTATTAAGCTTAGCATGGAATGATTGCCTCAGCTCAAGACAATCTGAATTTAGGATAGATTTGCAAACATGCAGAATTAAAGTATTTGAGATAAATTTAATGTTGTAGTATAATACTAAAGGTGAGAAATACTGATCAGAAAACATTCTCTCCATATGAGTTATATGGCATTTTTTTTTAAGATCTAAGATGACGGTTTTAGAAATACCAGTAATTTTGTATCTAATGACTGTACAAATCACTAATCACTTTTTCACAGACCATTTCTTTTTTTAGACTCTGTAATTACAAATAGCTCATTAGTGTTTCCTTTAAAAGATATGTTTCTGTACGAGCAATATTTTAACTATTTTTTTCATCCTGATTTTGCAGAATGTCATAGGTATGTGCAGAATGCATAAGAATCCTGCTGACTTCAGTGACATAATAGATGTATCTAAAATTAAGCTGTTGGATCAGACTATAGATTGCAAAGACAAATTCCTGTAAACGTCCCTGCTTGTGCAATCAGACTCATCCTAAAAGTTTCTTAGACAGGGACCATGCAAATAAAAATCTGTGTTTCTCTTCTATTCAAAGTAACATGAAAGTGGATGCTAGGGTCACAGTTCAACATTTGGCATACAGGCAAGCACCATTAAATGCATCAGTGGTACAAATAAGGCCATGAATTTTCTTTCGTAGCTTATTAATTCTAGCTATACAGCATTCAATATTGTTCAGTGGCACTGGGCCCAAAACTATTACTGAATATAATGGAAACAGGTACTAAAGCTTGAGAGGTTTTTTAATGCACATAAGAGTGTTGTAAAATGCTTGTCAGATCAATCTTGCTGGGAATTTTACAGGTACATTCACTGATGCAGAAATAAGACTTTGAACTAAAGATCTGTTCACTCTATAGAGGGTCTAAGCCAGATACAAGTTTAAGTTTAAACTTGCTGCCAAGTTATGAAGAGTTTGGATTTTAGTTTTATTTGGGTTCATTATTTTAAAACATGGCACTAGTACAGTTTGCATGTAACTTGGGCCTTTGGGGAATAACGAAAAGGAAGAGCTTCTTAAGAGTGCCAAACTTGAATTGCTACTGAGTAACTTTTATCTATAGTTCAGTCCATGATAGACTTCTTATTCTTCCTAATGCCTCTATTTCCTTTGATTCTGATACTAGAAACTGCCATTATTCACATTTTCTTTCATCTCTGTTCTCATTTTCTCTCACTGCTTCCTCTGTGTTCCTAACTCTGTAAATCCTGGATGTGCAGACAAGTCATGGTTGTCCAAAATGCAAGGTAGAGTTTACTATCTTCTGAATTTATTTTATTTTTTGTATGCATGAATGGTACTATAAGCCTGTACATTGACATATAGATTTCTCTTGAGTTCTGATGGCATGCAATTGGGGTATGGTTTTGCTTTTCATTTTCTAATGAGGTCATTTCCAGGTCAGGAGGAACTGGAAACAAGTAGTTAATGCTCCTTGATGCAGTAATATTCTAGGGCCAAACTCTGAAGACAATAAACATTTCTTCTGAAATCTATAAGAATTTAGTTCAGAAATATCTAAAACTTCATTCTCACTCACTGAAAGTTGCAAAATAATTAACTGTGAACTTGTATCAAGATTTTGAATGGTGTTACTGCCAAAAGAGAAACAGGCACTATTAGGTAATAAAATGGAATACTTATTTACCTGCACATAATAAACAGATCTCTATCTTCTGTCTGTTTCTTTGTTAATAAAATTATTTAATGAATGTGTTAAAACTACACATTTTATATGTGTATTCTATTAGACTTTTTTATACAGTTATTCTATTATACTTTTTTCATTGTACTTTCAGTTGTATTATGTATTAATAACTCCTAATTAAGGAATCAGAGAGAAAATATAAAGAAAAGAGATATGCAGTTTCTATCTTTTCACACAGCACACTCTGTGAATTTCAAGTGTAAATTATTTTATACTAGGTATGCACTCATTTAATGAGTGCATTTTATTAAAACATCTCCATCTGTTAATCACAATTGTTGGGGAGAAGGCACATCAGTGCTATGAACTTAATGTATTTGCCAGATCCTTCCCTTCAGAGGTCTAAAAACCTTCATTTGTCATCCAGTTTAGCCTGGTTCTGCACCTCCCTAGCAGTAGCCAAGGTCTCCTGCTTCCCTCTTCAACAGATCCAAGCCATAGGTTATATGGATGTGGGCTCACACCACCCTTACAGTTCAGATCCAAATACGCCATGGACTTCACTGGAAATACTTCAGAGTTACTGTGTGAAAAACACATTTACCTTTTGTCACTTTCAGCTATGAAACTCAACACTGCATGAATCACCTTCTCACATATTTCTGAAAAGAATCAGGAACTTTGAGATGAAGTTCTACTATTGCAAAAGGAGATCCAAGAAAGGAAAGGGAATATATTGGTGTCATTTTCTCGGCTGAGTGAACAAAAGGTCCTTTCCTATTTTCTTCAAAAAATGAAAGTATATCAGTTCCTTAAAACCAGTAGATCACAGGACATTTAGACAGGATACTTTAGGCAGGGGACAGATTTGTCATATGGAAGAGTGGGAAAAGAAGAATATTGAGGTGCTTTAAAAAATTTAACTGCATTACTGAATAGTGTTTGCCATCAAAATCTAGTTTTGAAAAGGATTCAGATTTTGTATTTCAGCTTTCCTTCCAAGATATGCACGAAAACTTTGTGTGAATTTCCTTTCTATATGCTCTTGGTCCCCCTAGATTTTAATTTATGCTTACCATTCTATGCTGTGTCTCATAGAACTCATTGAACTCTGGAAAGCTTCTGCTTTCTTCCTATAAGCAGAGGTGAACATACAGTTTTTTTCACAGGTCCCAATAGCCTTCTCATTTTTCAATAAACTAGAAGTCAGTGGATAGCAAGATTTACAAGCAAATAAAGTGCTTAGAATGACTAGAGCAAAAAGTAAGAGGGAAAATAGCTGCAAATCCCTTTCACTAAGAGATATCAGGTTAGTAGGTATGTTGGATATGGCCACACCCTTATGGAGAAAAAGGCCACCAGACACATCAGAATAATCAGATGGGATCAGTGCACAGTTAATTGAGTTTATAGCGTGAAACTGCTGGTGCTGAGATACCAGCATTGACATATATGTGCCAGTAAAACACATGCATGCTTCACACAACCTTAAATCAGACCAACTCCAATCTGGTACCGTGCACAGCACACCATTAGTGACTGACTGATTATATGAGTCCCTGGAGTGCATCTTCTCAGTTAATCTCATATGAAAGGAATTAGTTCATTAGTTCTGAGACCATGCCACAGTGTGAACCAAAAGAGTTAAGTCAGAAGTGAGAATTAGAGGAACAGTACACTATCAAAAGTTAATGTAGGGGAACCATAAAAGAGTTTAACATGGCATCTACAAGTCATTTTGTCTCACTGCTGGAGAACAGTCCTGGGAACATTTAATTTAATAAAAGATACAGCAGGTATATACTTGTAGATGGACAGAAAGAGTTTACCTTCTATCTTGTGGGGTTTTCAAAGTATGAAAAGCTTCTCATGTTCTTCTACAAAGCTTTTTTGATATGTCCATTAAAATGTATATTAAATTAAAATTGGAATGAAAGCAGTTCTGACATCAAAGCTCACAGATTTAGATGAATCCATAGTGTACTGCTTTCTCCATACTCAGGAAATGCAAAGTACAATCGAAAGCATTACTGATTCTTTTTTAAAAACAGATTATGCAGCCAAACCTTTTGTTCTTGGCTGTTGATAAAAAAAAAATCAGGAGCTTGATGCACTTTTATGTTTCTTTCCAGTATAGTTAGAGGAATAGGCAGACAACAGGATCAATAAGAAATTAGTGTTTCTATCATTAACAGGATATTAGTTACCTTATGGCATTCATTAAATGTTTTTGTGAGATGGGATTCCTATAATTAGAGATTGCACCCTATAAATATAATGAACCCGTGCTACTTTAAAGTGCTAATAGGAGAATGGTCTTGGAAAAGAAATCAATGCATTATCACCTCAATTTAGAATCAGAGCCCAACATTTACAATGAGAGGACAAAGCGTATGTGCATGTGCTCGCTGATGCTTTATCTTGAAATGGTTTTAGGCAGAGAGAGCCTGCTGAAGACTCAGAAGAAGATGTTTTAAAAGACAGTGTCAGAAAAGCGTACCAAAGAAAAAAATCCCAAAGGCTCTCGTTGTCCTCTTGCAACCCTGAATTGATGCAGAAATGGAAGATGCAGTTCTTTTCTTTTTCTAGTTTTTGGTTTGTGGGTGGTTTTGTTGCATTAGAGCTGAAAGAAACAAATGATCTCTAATGTAATGTTTTCTCCTTTTGTTCAAATTCAGTGCTGAGTACAAGCGGAGAACTAAGTACGTTCAGAAAAGCCTGAATCCTGAGTGGAATCAGACGGTCATTTATAAAAATATCTCCACCGAGCAGGTGCGTGACTGGTGGTGCTGTTCGGTGTCATTTGCTGCTTTATTATTGGTATGGTCTGCAGTGCTCACTGGGGGGGGAGTAGTGCTACTGGCAATTCTGTGAACCCCCATAAAATCTTGCTAGATTTAGGAGAAATTCCTTGCCTCTGATAGAGCTTACTGTATCAGTACTCTTTTCTTGCCCTTCTACACATAAAAATGGTAATTGGTGGGGATTACACTCATGATCATGTCATAAGCATAGATGTGACAATTTAAAAAATGATAATGTAATAAATTAATGAGGGAATAAATTAAGACATAAGTTTCTGAAGTAGATGCAGAAATCACTGTCACTCTTTGTTCCAAAAGCCATGCAAGCTCACATAAAGCACAGGTTCCAGAATTTTTTTATTTAAAAATATTTATAAAATGTAAATATACATTTTTTTATTTATTAGCAATTTACATTAATGTCTTGAAATATGAATCACCTGAAAAAAATTTAGAATATATTTAATTTCCTTGCTATAGAAAGATTTAGCTCACATCTGGGAAAGATGACTGTGGAGTCATCTGTTTCTTCATGGCATCCTAACTCCAACTGACCTACAGGGTTAACTGAGGCAGAATAAAGCAATTGAGATGTCTTTTTCTCCATCCCCCCTTGTAAAAGGACTTCTGATCATTTGAAAAAGATATATGAGCAAAATTATGATCCGTTCATTTGTTGAAATTATGAAGTATATTTTATAGAATACTGGATCTCTAGGAAGTCCTGAATATTTTTACCTTTCTTGCTATTTTGTTCTCGATACTTCCAACTTCTCTTTTCAAGGCCATTTAATCTTTCAGCACTTTTTTAAAAAAGTCCAGAATAACCAGACTCTTCAGCGAACAGATTTCTCAATGCTTTTAATATACTTCTCCATCATGACCCCAAGATGTCAATATTATCTTCTGAACTTAAAAATTTGTTATTCTTTCTTCTTGTTTGTTGAGAGGAATGTAGATTAAGATATCCATTTTTTGCATGGAGCAAAGCCCTGCCCACAGAGGGACATGCATGGTTGCTCATGCAATCTATCCATGTGAACTTAACAGGCAGTAGCTCAAATTTACTTCAGAGGTGTCCTGCTGTAGGTCGTGGTTGTGGTTTGATGGGATTTCTCACTGCTTTATGCAGACTTTTGTAAATGATAGCTCATTGCCAGTGAAAGCATCAGAAAAAAACCAACTGTGTTGTTTGCTGAGTTGCAATATAAACCCAGGGTCTTCTGGGTTTGGTGAAAGGGTTCAGTAAGTCTTAACAATATTTCCGAACTGAGCTTTCCATTTAAGAAAGGTTCTTCAGTTTCCTTAATTTGTTTTGAGGTTCTGCTGTGACATTTCACAGAGCTGTCATTAAGAGTACTTGGGTGTTGTACATTCAGTGGCTATTTCATGCTTCAAAACTGGATAGTGATATTAATCTAGGATTTCTTGGACAGTGTTTTTTACAACAAAAAAAATCTACTTATATCTTTGATGCCCGGTTTTGGACCATTACTTGATGACATGTGCCTTTCTTTGCATGTTGAATTCTGAACTTTTGCTTCTAATAGCAAATCTCCTCCTTTTCCCTTCCTCTGAGACTGATATTCAGAGCTTATGATTGTGTGCAAAACCTACTCTGAGCACCACATATGTTCTATATTTCGGCTTCTTGACACACAGAAGTGTATACAGAGAATAGTGTTTCCTTCCAGACCTTTCCATGGCTTGTATCTACTGCTAAGATAGTGATGTGAGTGATTTTTCTCCTATAAAATTCCATGTCCTGGCTTGGAAAATATACAATAAAGCACATTTCTAAATCACCAAATAACTCCATGCTGATGATAAGTACCCTCTACAGACTGAATAACTATCACAGTGCAATAGAGTATCATTTGTACTCATAAAGCTCACAAATGGAGATTTCAAAATAGTTGAGAATATAAACAGAAGTACAGGACAATAATTGTGTTCAACTGAGAATGAGCATTTTGTTCACCAAACAAGCAAAACTGCATCATACACTAAGCTACATGGAGTTAGCAGTCATATTCTAACATAAATTCATGAATCTTTATAAATAGTATTTCTTCAAAGAAGCATTTCTTTCCACTCTATGGGTTGCTTGCTGACAGCAAGTAAGCATTATTAAATATTTCCTAATATAGTCCTTTTAACGTCACTGTCTAGACTTTAGCTGGTTGTACAATTTTTCATTTTCCATTTCTCTTCCATAATCTATCTGAAATTAAACTGAAAATAATTATGGGAAATAGATCACTCTTTGAAATGAAACAGAGTTTTTCAAGGTCAAAATGATTAGTTTTATCACGTAGCAAATTCTACTTTGACGATTGGAGAAAAAAATAAATTAAACTGTGAATATTTAGTAATTTAAGGTTTTTGTTAAGTAATAAAGTAAAGATAATTACAATCTGAGAGGAAGGCCAAGTACACATGTTACAAAACTTGTATAATAATTGCTCAAGTTAAATGCCTACTCAGAGCATGAAAGAAAGCGTTAGAAGAATTTAAGGAGAAGATGATAGAAGATGTAAGTTCTGTTGCTGCTCAAGCCATTGGCATAACTTGTCAGAAAGCAAATAAAAGTATTTCTTAAATGATATAATTCAATACAGCAAATAGTTTTTGCTGTAGTTTATGTTCTTAATTAAGGTAATATATTAGAAAGAGTAATTTTTTTCAAAATCCTTGAGTAATGTAGGAGCCTATGTCTTATTTCTGAAAGTAAGAAAATCTTTCTTATGAATCAGTAAGGTGCTGGTACTTAAATTCTACTTAATATCTTGGACAAGAGAAAGTAAGTTTCTAAGTGACCTATCAAAAATCTTTTTATCCTTCCACACACTGAAGTACAACAATATAGAGAAGAGAACAATACAATCTTAAATATGAATGTAAACAAAAATAAATATAATGGATGATCTAGTGCAACACATTCATTTCTTCTCATCAAATATTCTGAGATTGCAATAGTTCATAGTAATTATAGTAATCTACTTTCAGTATAGAAGAAAAACAAGCTGCATTAAAATTATTTCTTACCTCATGCAATCCTTGCATGACATTTTCGAGGGATATGTATTAAATATTTCAAGTAGTGAGTCCTTGTATGAAATCTTCAAGGAATATGTGTTAAATATTTTAAGTAATGCATATTTAGCTACACAGGCACACATTAGCTATAACAACACCCAGATCTCCAGACATTTAAAATGAAAACCAAACACTTCTGTACCTGTGGTGTTGGTTATGTCTTCCATAACAGACAATACTTTTCACATTGGCTGGTTCTGCTTATTCCTTTAAATTATGGTTCCCACAAAAGCCTAAAGATAACTGAAGTTCACATGCAATAATATGCTTTTAGGTAGGAGTTTAATTTTTATTTACTTGTTAATTTTTTTCCACAAGGCAAAGCTTCAAATTAATTACCATTTGGTAACACTTTTTTTATGATATTCTTAGAACTCAGATGAGGTTCACAATGTGTGTAAGCAACTTTCCTTCTTTTTGGGACACTTTCTGATTTTCCTGTTGCTACATTGCCCACTTGCAGAAAGCCACAGTCAGATGGATAGAGGGTTTCTGAAACCCATTTTAGTATTGCTGTCTGTTATATTCCTGATGAGAGTCTGAACTTCTGCCTTCACAACCTAAAACTGCATGATGTAAAGCAGAACCCTACTTTGCTGTGATGGTATAAAAACTGCTTTTAAAATCAGCAGCCATTGAGTGTTCCTTGCCTTCAATGGTGGTACCTAAATACACCTGCAGAAAAAAAATTCTACTCCTCATTGAAACTCATTTCTTGCACTCTGCCTAATAAAGCTCTTTCCATGGTTTTTCATTGTCATAATATTTTATAAAAGCTTTATTAAACTAAGAGACTTAAAATAGATTTCTCAAAGAAATATAGAGAACTGAAAGTTTCCATCACAGTTCTATTATCACACTAATGCAAAGAAGCTAGCAAATAGGGTTGCAGTTACTCGAAAAATCTTCTCTATTTTCCCCTTTCTAACAAAAATCCTTCAAACCTTAGAGTTTTGTTTTGTTTTTTTGGGTTTTTTTTCCCTTTCCTGGATCTATACATTCTTCTCTCTGTCCTTGCACAGTCATGAAAAAGACAATATGTCCCCTCAAAATAGCAACAACTGAGACAATACATTTCTGAAAAGTATTTCTGTTATCCCTTTTTTAAAGGGTAAAAATACATATACTTAGGATAGCACCTAACAGAAAATTATATTGTACAGGAAGCCAAAAGCATCATGGACCACTGGCTGCTCAGCTCATTTTTTCAGGTTTTTTTTCATGTTGCAGTTTCAAGACTGTCTTGGAACAGCAAAGAAAAAAGAGTTTTATTCAGTCAAGGAAATAAGCTTTACAAATGTTCAGTAAGGAATGTTCAAAGAATAGTCTTTTTCTCAACTTTTTCTTTTGTTTTTGCAGGATATTTTTTTAAAAGAATTCTTAAGAAGAATATTGCCTAATTATGAAAGAATAGAACAGAGAAAGATTACAGAATTCCTCTCAAATGTTTTTTTTGAAATCTTAGCTTTCAAATCATGTTGCTGCCTACTTAAAGAGTACGTTGTTGATGCTAAAAGTAGTACAATTCCATTTTGTTTGGGTTTTCCAAGATATGCTGATTTAAATTTGTCTTTCTAAGACATTGTCTTTGCATAGTTGATCATTTTTCTAAAGTTAGCTGGGAAAAGAAGATATTCTGAATACCTAATAATGATATGAAATTATCATTTAAAGACAATTTCAACTTATTAGGAACTGTTTTAATCTGTGTTGCGTTAAACCAAGGTGCAGTGGAGATAAATGAATAGAACATGGTGCTAATAACAGTAAGGTTGTGGGTTTGATGTCTATACAGGCCATTCACTTATGAGTTGGGCTCGATGATCCTTGTAGGTCCATTCCAACTCAGAATATTCTGTGATTCTTTAAATAGCACACAGTGCTTTTCTTGCAAGTAAATGTAGTACATACAATAATTGATATAGCTTATAAGTTTGAGCAGTGACTTGATCCTTTGTTGTCCCTTTGTGCCCAGCAGCCAATTAATAGTAAAATAAGTGGGTTTTTTCTGTTGTTTCTGTTAGGATGATGACCCCGACTATCATGTAAGATTTCTTCTTCTGACCTCTTTTATTCAAGTATGAGTCCTGTTTTCCTTAGTGATGCTTGGCTTCTTCACTTATAACTTCTCTGCCTGACTTTGCAGATACCCCATACCCTCAGGATTTTGATTTCTCTCTTTCAAGCCCCAGGAATTTATTACTGCCTCTTCAGCCCTTTGCCCAAACATTCAACATCAGTAATCAATCCTCTCCTTTTACATCCCTAAAGACCCCTGGAAAAACACTCAGATTGGTCTTTCCAATAAGGTCAACTTCTTTGGTCAACAGTTTCTCTGTCTTTTACTCTCTTGTCACATAAAAAGACTTACTTGTTTCTTACTGTAACCTGTAGTAGAGTGCTTAACACAGCTCTCATGCCTAACAATGTCTGCAGGTAAAGGGTTTTGATAGGTGTCATTAATACCTAACAGTACAACTTGTCCTGCATGCCTGGATCACTTGCAGACTCTCATTGACTACACTGAATTCTGTGAGCATTAAAGCCTTGTCTTCACAGATGAGATTATGTAAATGGGGTGTTTTAAATAATACATTTGATATTCACTCTCAAAGGCACTTCAGGCAAATGCCTAAGTTCAGACAACTCAGATCTGATGATGAGAAAAGCTGCAGAAACACAAAAATGGGGCTTTAAAAATCAGTTTGACTCTTGTAGTGGACACACATTCTGACTAAAACAGCTTGTGGAAATTCCAGAAATAGGGCCAAGCACAAGCCCATCTGTCTTGATAACAAATAATAGCCCCAAATTATTTTTCTTAGAACAAGGTTGATGAGAGGACAAAAACTGCCAAGCTGTCACTATGAAAAAGGACGCAAGGAGGAAATTATGTATAGAAACCACTGCAAAGCCTTGATCTGAAGTTTATGATGGCAATGAGGTTAATTATACTTTGACTTAAATTGCAGCTGAAAAAGAAAACACTGGAAGTGACTGTCTGGGATTATGATAGATTCTCCTCAAATGACTTCCTCGGTGAAGTGAGTATCTTATCTCTTCCTCGCTGCTAGTAATAACTGTAGGCTGTTATTTGGAGACTGTTCTCTTCCAAGGTATGGTACATACGTTAAGTAAAACCTTTTCTTACACCACAGTTTTACTGCTGACTTCGTAACGAACCGTCATGATGTCTTTTATGACACATGAAAGACATATTCCCTTTATCTCGTTTAATTGGGAACAAGTTAATTTAGGACCTAATACAATGTTAATTCCCTTAAAATTAAGACTTTTTTTTGAGCCTGAGATAGTAACGATCTTCACAGTGGCTCAATGGGGAGTTCTTGTTATGACTGAAAGATGTCTGCCTCAATTTTAGCTTAATATGGGAAGGCTGAGGAGGTATTAGTCTTTGAAAATGGTTAAAGGATTAAATTCTGCCATCAAGTCATATTTTAACACATGCATAAGTATCTGCAAGAGTAAGTAATCTATTCTTGCTCACAGCCTCATTTTTAACATTCTGAAATAGTAGTATCATTACCAAAGTATGACTGAAGACAAAATCTTGTAATTAATAATAAATGAGATGAGTGATCATGGGAAGAAGCATGCTCTCTCTTTAAAAAGCAAATAAACAAACATATGCACATATAGAGCAAAATTACCAGCAATAACTATGATGTAAAAAAAAATAATTAAAAATGTTATTACAAATAAGGATTATAACTAGAAATAGAAGCACAGGAAAATTGATTGCTCATACAGAGTTACTCAGAGTATCTGTGCTCATTCTGCATTTGAATTTTGAAAAAAAAAAGTCAGTTCAGCTCCAGTTCCCCTTTGTGCAACTACCAGACTGAGCAATCAGTGTCACTATTTGAACAATTACTAAAATAAATGTGGAGGAAGCTGCTACATGATTACTTATTTCCTGCATACTATGTCCATATTCTTGTTGAGTTCAGCATGTTTGTCCAAATGCAGGGCTTTACTGAATATTTACTTCACTGTTATTTATGACATTTGGAAAAGGGATGCTCCAACAACTGATTCTACAGGAAGATTTAAACCTTTTCCTTCAATTTTTTTCAACCTCTAGAACTATTTTATTTATTAATTATGAAAGAATTTCTTCAGGGAAAAAAAGGTACAGAAAACACTATCCAGTGTATTTCAGCACCAGGATGTCCAGAGGAATCCTGCACCATAACATCGGATATGGGATATCCAAGTTGTGCCCTAAAGACTTGCTTGAGTAGGACCAGGACCATGGGACATGCATGCCCCAGAAGACAAGTGGCACATTGTGGCCCACATCCATGGAATGTGAAACCTCTTCTCTAACAAAGCAGAGCCCCCAGCCTACACTGCCTCTTGGGAGCAACTGTCAACTATGCTGTCTCCTAAGTCATTCCCAAAGCTATGACAAAACACCACAAAAGGGAACACGCTAAATAGTTAATCTGTTCAGATTAATTATACATCTAACCAGAAGGACCAAGCCAGGTCATAGACAACCTATGAAGCCGAAAGAAAAAAGGCAAAAAAAAAAGGTTTTGACCTAGAAACAATCAGTTGTGAAGAGATTTCCCCGTGTCAGGGTCTTGTAATAAAGTGATGTAATTGTACACTTTATTTGTCTGGCAGTTTTAAAACTTCCCTACCTAACATTAGTTTTAACCCCCTCACTTTAGAGCCAAATGCAAGGCTTTTTTTGACCTTTCCTTCATTCAAGACTATGATGAGTTTTAGTTCTTTACATCCTTTTGTCCTCTCAACTGCAAGTCTATTAAGGGAGGCACAATCTTTATTGGTCTCAATGCTGGGGGTTTTTTACCTCTTTTCTTTTTTTTTTTAAATTTCTCAGAACTCCTGCTAGCAATGCAGGTTGCCTAGAGCAAATTTCAGCTACAAAGGTTGGGTTTTTTTAGCCAGGTTGCTTGTTTCATTTCAATATTGCCATTGCAACTCCTTTCTTCTTTTTGCCCAGTGAAGTTTTGAGGCCTAAATGGTCTATTGAATTCTATATTTTTTAGTGAAGTGCAAAGATATCCCTATTTTATTTTTTGTTACTAATTCTGCATGTGTGGGTTTTTTCAAGACTCAAGAGGTTCGAGTCTCATATTATTGAAGACCTTATTAAAAACAAATATAGAACTATTTACTCCTTTACTAACACTGCAAAAAGATTGATTGATTCTTCTATTAGAATATGTCTATGAATGACTGGATGTCTTTTTAGTCTAGCTGTCAATCTAGTGCTCAGAAGCTACCCTTTAAACTGTCTGGCCATCTTGGTATAGAGCTGTCATAGTCCAAGGACTGAGCTCACAACCCCTCCTGAGGTCCTGTTGTGAAGACATATTAGTTCACATACATCAATATACTACCAATGTGGGTTTGGGGTCACAGGTGGCTTATATGAGGTGAGGTGAAAGCATGCCCAGGAGCCCTGAACCTGTCAGCATACAGCCTTATACCCCTAGCTCTTGCATTTGATTGCAACTTCTGGTAACATAACTCTAGTCTCTTCTGCTGTGTGCAATCATTAATAGATCAGACACAGGCCATATATTATACTTTTATTTATTTGTAGGTGTTAATCGAGTTATCCAGTGTTTCTCAGCTTGACAACACTCCCCGGTGGTATCCTCTTAAAGAACAGAGTGAAAACATTGATCATGGGAAATCTCATTCTGGACAGAGTAGCCAGCAATCTCCAAAACCATCTGTCATCAAGAGCAGAAGTCATGGAATCTTCCCGGACCCCTCCAAGGGTAGGAATGACTTGGTGCACCTGATATGAAATATTTTCCCAGATGATGGGAAAACCTTTGATATGTGTAAGTTCTAACAGAAAAATAAAGGTACTGCTACGAAATTTGTATATATTTTTATTAAAAATGCATTTATCCCTGTGATTAATTAATTGGGGATAAGGCTTAATTTGTCTCTATCTCTGCCAGCCAGCTTACTGAGTAACTGTGTTCTTAAAACAGCAGCTTACAGACTATGTTCTTTGCACACATACTATAGATTCTGTGCCCTTTTCATTTTTCTGGTAGCCTTGGCCAAATTCAATACATATTTAGCTTTCTATTTTTCATGTTCCTTAAAAATTCTATGGCATTTTATGTCTGAAAATGCTGCATTAATATTTCATAGAACAAAAATTATACTGTAATAATGCATATGCATTTCCAGTCAATGATAATGGGCTGTAGCATATCTCAATTGTATTAGAAATCAGCAGAGCTGATATAGTAGAAATATACTAGTGCTTTAAAAAGCAGAATTGATCTCAGTGTCTCCTGCTCCAAGAAATTCATCGCTAATGTTTTTTTTATACTAAGTGGTCAGTAGACAGTTGGTCTCTTAAAACACATTATATGTCATATCAAAGTAAAAGCATTCCAAATAGAATCCAGGTAAAACCCTCAGAGTGATAGGACTCTGTTCCATCTCCTCTCTATTTATCTGTGTAGTGTTCTGCTAGGGATTGGTGGTTATATAAGATCTATACCTAAATTAGAGGTAAGTATAAAATCTTTTGTAAGTTAGGCTGTGATTTTGACCAGGGCATAATTCAGAATAAAATGGCTTACATTCTCTGAGCATTTGGTACTGGTGTAGGTTGTGCTAGTTGATCCCTACATACTAGAGAATTAGAAAGTGGAAAACACTACCCCATCGTTCCACCAGCGTGAACCAACACAGGAGGCCTAATTCACAGATGATAGAAACCCAGTACTAAATAAATTATTCTCTGGGCTAGGTAACAGTGAGGAAGCAGACAATGATGCTTCTTAAGGGTTTACTAATCATGATATATCCTGATACTTTAAATGGAATGGCACAGCTTAATCTGTATTCCTTGTTCAGGAATTCAGCTAGAAAGACCAGTCGAGAGAAGGAAAATCAAATTGTTTGTTTTTAATAAATGCAAGAGTTGTGCTTCTTCATTTTCCTGGTAGACATGCAGGTGCCCACCATTGAGAAATCCCACAGCAGCCCAGGGAGCTCCAAATCTTCCTCTGAAGGACATCTCCGCTCTCACGGTCCATCTCGCAGCCAAAGCAAAACCAGCGTCACTCAAACTCACCTTGAAGACGCTGGGGCAGCCATCGCCGCTGCCGAAGCAGCTGTCCAGCAGCTCCGCCTTCAACCAAGTAAAAGACGCAAATAAATTCCTCAGCATGGCAGCTTAATGTTCATCTGTTGCCTTTTTCCCTGCTGTCCTTCTCTTTTTGGCTGTTTTGTTGGTTTTTTTTCTGTTCTTGGCACACTGTGCTCACTCTGTTCAATGTCTTTCTTCGTGTGCCTGTGTGTGAATACATATAATTATTATATACTCTTGTATTTAGAAGTCTTTTATTTATTTATTTATTTTAATTTATATAGACTGCAGTGAAACTGGCTGTTTCTCCATCAGTCACTTCACTCATGGTCCATGATGTTCCATGGTTGTTCACGACTCACAGAGAAGTCCATTGTGTTTTGATGTCACTAAATAACTACCAATGAAATAATCAAAATCTGCAGAGATGTGGCTGCCAGCTCTTTAAATTGCACACAAGTACTGAGACCACATTAATAACAGGATTTATCTGTAAGTAGTAATCAGGAAGGACAATACTATATACAGAAAAGAAGATTTGAAGTTAAAGAAATTTTTTTTTTTCTAACTACATGGCTGAGATATCTATTTTTGAAACATGACTGTAAATATATATTTTAGGGTTTTTTTGAAAGGAAATATAAGTCAACCTTCTTAATATCTCAGAGAAGATCATGTTAGTAATGAGCAGAAAAGAAACAGAACAAAAACATTAAACACATTAAATGCAAAACCATTAAACACACAAAGACTTTAGCACCAGATTTCAACAATGTTGTCAACTTAGGAAAGTCAAAGGGAGTTGAGAACTAAGTCAGGTATCACAGTTCAATTTTTCTAGTAATTTCTGTGCCATGAATTGATTAAGGGTCAAGATAGATTTCATCTGCAACTTCAAATAGGTTAATAAATTAAAACTATTCCATTCAAAAGAACTACTCTCCAAACTTCAGACCAGTATCTGATTGCTAGTTGAGGGCTTAGTTGATGGCAAATTAATTCTCTCTGACTGTGGAGTCATTGTGTTTGTCTTCAGGATTTGTTGATATGCCATAAATTTACCATGGTATAATGCAAAACTGGGGGGAAATTATTTCCCTTGTCTTCACCATCATTAATAAAGAAACAGCCAGTTTTAATACTCTTTAATGCTGTGCATGTGGTGTCTCTTTGGTGTTTGAAAACACTACTTACTTAAATACAGAAAAAACACTTCTGTTTGCATGAATAACATTTAAGCTGGTTCCATCTGAGGATACATACTCTGGGTTTCCATTTCACCCACACTGCCACAGCAGCACATAAAAGCGGTCAGTCTAATCATGCCAGGAAGCAGCACAGACACAGCATAGCAGGAGTCCTCCCTATTCAAAGAACTCAGTCTGACAATCTGCCTCCACCAGCCAATGACAACAAAGACCAAAGCCAACTAGCCCTCAGGAAAGTGATGTCTGATGGACCACTCAAGCCTGAAGGAGGTGAGCAGAAAGACATGGTTAAGAAACCAGCTACATCCCAAATCCTTCTTGCCATGTCAACTAATTCATTGCGATATTTAAATATTTATTTTACCCCTCCATTAAGTGCTGTAAATGTTAACATGAATCAAGAACTCTGCTTGATTTTTCCACCTACCAGCGCATAAATCCATAATGAAAAACTGTGCTAAGAAGCATTATGAAACAACAAATGTGTGCACTTCCATTCCACTGGAGTACTTAGACTTCTGTTGAAAAATAGTATAGCTTTGCTCATGTTGTTGCCTAATAAAAAGCATGCATCCAAGTTGGTCTGCTTAAGCATGATTGGACATTTCTTGTACTGTGACAAAAAAACCCCAATTGCAAATTTTTGTTTCTGCAATTGTAATTGAGACATTAACAATTTCCTTTTCCTCTTCCAACATAGTTATTATGTCAACAGTCATTAGCATAGATAAATTTTCAAACCACCAGTGGAAAGGAAAGGAGTTTTGATCCATGTATAGCTCAGTCTCTTGATAGTTTTCCTATCAGCATCTTTAAAATTATTTTCTACGTGTAGGCACCTGTAATACCACCTATCAGTAATTTATCCCCTCATCTCAAATAAAGAGCCAGAATCTCAAACAGCTCAAATTGCCACTGTTCTTTTGATTTCTGGAGCATTTTGTTTATTTACATGGAATCTGAGGGATAATCCAAATAAATGTACTGACTGGACTCCCAGATGTTCTCTTGTGTTGTAATGCCTTCCTAAGCTCTCAAGATTCACTGAAGGTTTTTCTGTCACACCGTTGCACACTGTGAACAATACAAGCTGTCTGAGAAGGTTGTAGGAGAGAAAGAGGGAATGATACTTCAAACTATATACCCTGAAGGCAACAAGTCATTACATTACATATTAGAAATATTGTAGAGAATTATGGGAATAAGAGTTCACATTAATATAATTAGTATATAAGGGAGGTTAGAATTACTATGAAGAGATGTGGTACTAAATGTTTTTACTTGTAACATTTATGCACAATGCATGGTCAGCTACACAATGTTTACAAGTCTGGTTTCAAACCTGTGAGAAGTTTTGGCTTCTTCCTATTGTACCAAAATCAGTTTGTCCAAATTTATTCATATGAGATGGGCCAGCAGTTACCATTTTGAGGTTAATGACTCTCATGAGTTCCAGCAGGAATAAAAAGCAAGACGATTTCACTGCAGTTTTGTGGAGTATGAAAGTAAAATGAGAAGAGTCTATGACCTTGAATGGAAAAAGCACCAAAGATACTCAAACCAGCTTCCAGTTTATGGAGTTCTTTGTGGGATGAAGAGATGATGAAGGAAGGAGAGGTTTCCCCTGCATTTCAAAAATTCTAAAAATTGAGACTCTTGTGAACAATGAATATTAGGCCATCATCACTTTGCAAATCCATTCTGAAAGGGATGATGCATGGTTGTGGTACCCACCCCCCTTACAGTCTACTTTACTGGCACCTGGAAAAGAACCCATTAGGAACTGGTTTTGTTAACTGGAACAGTCACCTTGGAAAGTCAGTAATTTTTGTCACTATGTCTCAAAGCCCTTTACTAAGGAAGCTATTACAGATAATCCACAAAATTGTTATTATTTTTTTCCACAGCTATTTTACTATGCATTTATCAAAGAACAGCATCTTTTAGAACAACTCTTTGGGTTCTTTCAGCCCAAGTACATGAGGGTGATGGAAATGATTCTATGCTGTGAGTGGTCATCTGTCCTTCTCCAGCTAGGAGAATGCTCAGAAAGAGTTTCTTCTTTTAACTTGTCTCTCAATAGCTTCCTTTTTTTTTTCCTTTTGAATTGAATTGGCTCCTGAAAACAAGCAAACAAACAAAACAAAACAAGAACCCTCAGTCATTCTCAGAATGTCTTGGAGAAACCTTTCTCTACTTCTGACTCCTAGGACATTTTCCATTGGATGTATTTTGTCAGTTATTAATTGTGTGTCTGTTGAGAAGCAAAAAGGAAATCATAAACAAAACCAGCACCTGTGGTATACTTAGCGTATTTTGTGAATGCAAAGGACTTGCATCAGTTTAAGTATATTGAACTGAACTGTTTCTGTATTCATTTTAAACAGTAAAAAAGTGTATTTTAATCAGTCTGTTTTAAAATTAAGGTGAAGATGCAACAAAAAAAATTGGGTTTTGTTCAGAACCATTGTAAAATCCAATATTCAACTAGAGCATTCAATTAAAAATAAACTCTGAAGTATAATTTTCTTGTTGCCTGTGGGAGATAAGAGTGTGATCTGCAGAGAAACCAATTCCATATTACACATTCCCATCACATCCCTCAGAGAGGAACAAAAGTATTTCAGAGCCAACTCTTTGAAGCCAGAAGTTGCAAGGGACCCAAGTCAGAGGGAGAGAGCAGTGCCTAGGTTTCATTTAATTTGATTTAGGTTTTGTGCAAAATATGAATTGTTGCCAATTACATATTCACATAAAATTAAGCACATTCCTTTCATCATAAATTTGTGTATTAGAGTTTATCCACCAGATGAGTCAGTTTTAGAGATAGTGTAAATCAGTCCAACCTTCCAGTTTTATAAGGATCTGTGGTATCTACATGGATGTAGCTTAAAGGGTAAAATTTGATGGCCTTGTCATTATTGGAAGAGAAAAAGGTGCCAGTTTTACCCCAAAAGGAACAATGGTTAACATTAGAATATACAATGGTTAACAAAACCAACATTATTTTATGACCAAAGAAGAGAATTTCTAGAAATTTATTTTAATTCTTCCTAGGATCTTTGGAGAAGAATAAATTAATATTTAAAGAGTAAATAGCTCAGTAAGTGAATTTAAGCCTGAACATCATTGTAGCCCTATGCATTTTTCTATCCTTTCAAACAGGCACTCATGAAAGAGAAGCTACAAGTCAATATGCTGTTGCTTGAATATCATATGGTGATGGATGCCATATACACTCCTCTTTTATTTGGCTCACCTTAACCCAAACAAACAAGCAAGCAACCTGCCAAGAGAAAAACTCTGCTATGCTCTTGATCTGAATTAGGTAGCAAATGTTAAAGATCTAGAGAAATTGCCATGTGTTTCAGTTAAAGATACAAACATACCTATTAAATTACCATTTAAGGTAATACAAACATAGTAATTCTACAGCAATTTCTGTCTGTTTTTCAATAATAAGAATGTTTTTTTTCAAGCTCAAACCTCTGGGAATTTAAAATCACAACATTTTCTTAAAACTTCTTCTAACCCAGTATTATTTATTTATTACCCTGAGAATGGGAGGTTGGAGGAGGAGAAGGGGAGGAGCACACCACCACACCATCTCATAGAAAACATTTCATCTTTTACATTACACATCTTAAATCATGACACAAAAGCTTTTCTGTGATACCTAAGAGGAAACTATTTCCAAACAGCTGTATGTCAAGTGGTTTCATTGATAAGGGGGACATCTACTCTCAGAGCTGATACTGTTAGATAGAGTATCTACATTAGCAAACTGCATCAGCATTTTCAGAATTGTACCCAGTTGAACATATCAGTTTAAACATCTCAAAGAATGCTATTTTAAAACTCTTTAGGTCCAAATGTAGCACACTTGCTTATAACTGCCTTGGGCCAACAACGTCGACAAAAGTTCACTTAAATGTCAGCATAACAGGTTAAAGGTACACAGAAATGTGATGTGATGTATGCATCAAGATATTGCTAGCACTGTAGAACCCATGATACAGGTCTGAGCTAGCACTGTGTAGTTTCTAAACGCTTAGCTGCAAGAAATTAAAATTGACCTGAATTTTCCTTATCACTAAGTTCTATTTCCTGGCTTTAGCAACAATGGAGTGAAAGGAAATTGATTCCTAGGTTCTATAAATCTTTTGAATTGGATATTATTGTGATCTAAAATACCTGCTCATTTGGGGTCCTTCTTGGTCTATATCCATTTTTACACATTTAATAGGCAATGCAATGTTTTAATTTCCAACATTATTTTAGGATATTTCCTTCACACTTAAATAATTTACTGTCCAAAGCTGTTTAATGACTTGTGTCACTAATCTCTCAATTTCCAAGTTAAATAGGTCTTCATATTGCTACAAATAATCCATTTCCAAGAATCATTTTCAACACAAGAACAGTTTGTCCCCACTCTCTGCAGATACCAATAATCTGAGGCTGTCTTTCGAGCCTTTCTAATAGCTGGCCCATTTTGCTTTGGCTATTCCTGCTGTTTACTCTTCCACCATTTTAAACTGACATGTAATTTCAGAAAAATTGCTCAGATTCTTCATTTTATAACACTTATTTCAAAAGTCTATTCAATGGTGGACTAACCTTTCAGAGTTCATGGAGAATTATTTCATCAGAATTGCTTTGCTGAGTAAAGAAATTACTTCACCACAGTTTCAGAAGAGTGCTGTATTTCTGCTACTCAACTCAAACGGTAAATTTCTCTGTAAAGGGTTGTGTTGAAATTTCACAAAATGTCACTGCTCAGTGTGTGGTTAAATGAGGATGAGTCCATGGCTTAAAGTCCTGTTCAGTATGAGGGAGCGTTAGGAAAAGAAACTATCTGAACTGACCTGAGGTGTATGTGTTTGATCACTAGTTCTTTGTGCATCCACATTCTGTTGCCAGTTGACAACAGATGCAACAAGCAGTTGCACCTTACAGAGCAATCTAGAGAGCCCCTGCTTTTAGTGCTAGCAAACCCTTCATAAAAAACAGGTAAACTGGCATTCGGGGCAGTTTGAGATTGGAGCACTTGAAGCACAAGGTGACTGAAAGTGAAGAGTAGCCACAGTTCTGCCAAAAGACACTGTGTATGAGATGCCCAGTCTGCTGGTCAGCAGAAAATTACCCATAGCAGATTGGTACTTTCCCCTGCTCCCAGGGGCTTGCATCTCTTTGAGAATACTCAGCATGATGCTATCAGACTTCTTTGTCACCCAGAGTTTCCCATGAGACTGCCAGCTATAACGAGC